TTATGAACTAAGATTAAAGCATTTCTCGTCAATTGAATCATTTCTGCTGATTGTAAATACGAACGGATCAGAGCATAGTACTACGCTTCAGCTGATAAAATTCCCTGCGAAAATGCAACTGAATTCAACTGAGAATTGTGACGTCACCATAAGCTATCGAATTTCAAAATGATGAGCGCTGTTTGAAATTGTAAAGTAGGTGAAGTTTTTGTACTTTATAGTTAGTGATGTCAGATTGTTAAACTGATGTTTTTTTTTTCGAGAATCGTCTTTGAACGACTACAATAGCTATGCCATATGGCTTATCAAAAAATTGTTTCATTAAAGATAAAAATAAACCCAACCAAACTGCCTCAACTAAGCTGATATGTTCATTGTTCGTGAATATTGCATATTCTTCACTCCAAATCTGTACACTCCGCTAGCATTCTTTTATTTCAGGCAATTCGGAGTGCTTTTGCAAGGTACGATTTTTTGAAGCAGTGGTCATCACCATCATCACGGATCATAGGCAATCTTTTCACTCCAACGATAACTACTGCTGCATCTTCGTCGTCCTCCTATGGTCTCGGCAATGCGGAACTCACCAATGAGTCGTTAGCCGTTGAAGCGATGCGATCCCTTTGGAATATGGTGAGTGATTTGGCTCAAATGCACATTTGTCATCACTTGATAATTTCTGACTGCGCTGATAAACACTCCGATCTGAAAGTGGCGCATTCTGGTGTTTGCGTGAAAACTGAAGAGGCAATCCGTCCGACGTGACCCTGGTGATCCATCGAGGACACGTCCATGCGAGATTATTCATTTTTATCGTGTTTGTTTTGTTGGGTTTCGGCAGTAGTTGTTTATTTTGTTCTCAAAAAATGCTTTGAGCTATTGAGTTGATGTTTGCGTCCAAGCTATGAAACTCACTACTGCATTCATTCGATCATTCAATGCTACATCCGATCATTGCACACTTTGATCAAGTACCATTTCACAGATCATCCCTCTGGGTGCTGATCAGTAAATTGAACATTGTGATCAAATGCTCGATGATTATTGTGCTCTATAGTTGTGTGTAATATAAGTAAACGAAAGATGCGAATTTAATGTAATAACTACATTCTTTAAATGATTCAACGTAAACATTCTCAAGTTCAACTGTGACGTATGTTTACTGTTCAGAATATTTATTTACTTCAGTATGCACCCTAAGTGCAAATGGAACACTAGCATGATCGATGAGAAAATGATCATGTACGCCATCAAAACAACAGTTTTCGTGGAGTGAGTTTGAACTGAAGAGCGTGAATGCATGAGCTCGTTCGTGAACAGAGAATGCACTAGTTTATTAAACGAATATAAGGGCACGGCTCGATTAGTAGTACATTTACTTTATTAGGTAATTATTCCATCGGTATGATTAGTTTCCCACTGAATCTGTTTTATTCAGATTGAAAAACCAGAAAACGATGCAATAGATCTCATCGGTTAATTTGATAATGGCGTGTGAGAAGTAGGCGTAGCAGATTTGTTTAGTGTGTGCGACTGATACGTATGAAACAAATCCGATTGATACAAAGCTGTGATCAAGTTCTTATTTCAAGTGCTAGCACGGATGACTTTGCTGGTGAATTTCGGGTAATGTATGTGTTCGTTCAGCAAATCCCATATGCCACTCTACCCAACAAACCAACTGCATTGTCAAAAAAAAAATGTCGCTGCCTAATGTTTATCCACTGACACCACGAAAAAAGCAGCTAACTGAAAATCCATCATGCGCACTGCATTTTAGACAGTAGACAATCATCACCCACGCAAACTCTCTGGACTATTATCTACATGAACACTTTGTGCAATTCTTGTGATTGACAACAACAACAAAAAAAATCATGCCTGTCCAATGCGTCATACCCAACCCATTCCAAATGAACGAG